AAACACAATACACAGTTATCGTGAAACGCCATCGAGTAAAATCACTTCAGCAATCAAACGTGAACGATTTATGAAACCTGTGAGGTATTCTTCACAGCTTAATAGACATTTTTTCAATGTGAAAATGTATCTCATTGTCTGAGGCATTCGAGTTTTACGCAATAAGTAATGGATTGAATGAAATAACATTCCACCAATCGAATAGTATGATAAATCTTTCCCGCAAAGCTTCATTAACAGATTAAGCATGATTATTGTGCTCGAATAAGCAAGTTCTCTATTTTGAAATACATTTTTGATCAAGCGATCGAACAGTCTCATAACTGATATTCTAATATGAACAAGGCTGAAACAATTGCTTTATGAGTGTGTAGCATATCAAGTAAAAATTACTAAAATCAATCGACAGGCAGGAATAAAACTTCCCATAAAATAGGCCAATCATATCAGTCAGCTATAACTGTGCTCTATCAGCTGAAAAGTGGAAAATATGCATCTCAGATAAGTGTCATTAATCGCATTGTCTTATTTATCTTAAAAGTCATTTTACTTATGACCTGGTGGTCCCTAATTCGAATCTCACTGAGAGCCAAGTTCTCATTCCACCTTCAATCATCACCCAGTATCAATACTAGTCTGTCGTACCATGGTAATCTCAGATAGTCAGTATGATGCTCCCTCTCTCTCATTCAAGTGGATTTGGAATAGGATGAAAAGTCCTGACTGAGGCCCTAGCGCGTGATCAAGCGGTAGCAACGCGACACGAATTCACATGGGAGTCAGGCAAACCCTTGATGACTGAAATGAAATAAAAATCTGGTCAGTAGTTGGATCTCGTAGCTCAGCTGGTAGAGCACCAGGCTAAGCCTGGTGGTTGATGGTTTGAATCTCGCCGAGACCCGAATTTTCGTTCCACCTCTAATCATTACTCAGTACTAATTTAGTAACAATATTTCATAACTTGCTCGGTTCAAGAGCTTTTTATCGACCCCTCACCCATTTCTGTATGACCTATATTTTGCAAACAACTGCATGTTGAGTGAAACCCATCATATTATTGTGCATGACTCCATATTTTGTTTTTGAAAACAGTCAGTTGTTTCATTTCCATAAATTATGGTGCGTTGCGGTCAAGTAATTTAGTTCTACGTGTATACAGATGCATCACATCGACTGAAATATATACGGACAATAAGCACGAAACTCTGTGTCTGTTGTATGCAGTTGCAGGGGAGGGCCGAATCGCGTCGCTCATCGTGTGGGTGGATTGGGTATAAAAGACTGGATAAGTACACGCGTGACCGATCCCGTTCGAGATCAGCGTTAATACTGGATTAGCTAAATCACGTGCTTAAGTAAAATACAGCCAGACAACGTTTTAGCACATTGGCGACAGGGTTAACCCAGGAATATAACAGGATGCATATTGTAGTTCAGCCAATTTGCTAGAAAAGCATTATTTGAGAAATGAACATCTGTACCAATCACCTGGAGTTTCGAAGACTACTGTTATTAACCCAGTAGCTAAAAACTGGATATTGATGGAACTTTCAGTAGAAAATAATTGCATGCCTTAGTAAGTTTGTCACATAAAGCACAAAGGAAGTAGTTGCATTCACGATACCATCAGTTTTTACGGAAAGCTAGGAAAAATATAAGGAAATCAATCAATCTTTTAAAGGTAGTGCAGTTAAAAGTCCGTAAGGGTGATGAACTAAGATTCAGTTACTTTAAGAATTAGCCAATAATAAGTGACTAAAATGGAGAAATAATGAAGACTTTCCAGGTATACAAGGAGAATAATACTCCCAAAACATTCTTTTCAAAACATGCAACAAATTTGAACAGCAGAGAACATTCTACCTGTCAATAAAGTATGCTAAAAGAAAATCAAGATTACAAAGAACCCAATTGTGACATACTGTTGTGATGCATCGCTTCTAAAAAATGTAGTTCCCGTATGTTTATGACTTTACGACCATCTCAGTCAACGGATTACGCTTTATATGAGGTATATAGATCTGCTTACTAGTGAAAAAAACGAGGACGTGGTTGAAATGAGGATTTCTGTAAAATTGATTATTAAATAGTGAGTTAGCTCGAACTTCCATTTTGTACATATAACAAGGACTCAGTTCATGCAATACCAACAGCACCTATGTCTTTTTAAAGTTAAAGTACTCAAATTGAAGACGATAATAATGCGCTCATTTGAGATAATCACCTCAGTTAGAAGGCCGAATTTCAGTGTGTTGAAAGGATAATTGAAGTAAGACTGAACTGGAGAGAATTCAAACCAATAAACTTCAAGAAAGATAGAAACCAGCCGACAAAAGTCTACTGATCAAGTTGGTTGAATTCATAAGTGAGCCAGTTCTATGTGAATTTGATTCAACATTTCATTCTGGAAGTTTGTGAGGATTCATTTGTTTGAAGGTAGTTTTAATCTAAAGAATGTTCAGGCGGAATAAGACTTGGGATAGATAGACTAAGCCATGGAATTACTGCATGAAGTCTTTGACTGTTGGTTAGAGACATGTATAGAGATGTAGAGTATTCGTTTGGCTTCCAAGTGACAACAGAAACCAGTCATTGAACACTAGGTGATATGGCTCAGATTCGTTGTCAGCGGAGTAGATGTATCTACACATTATCCTCATCTTAATCTCTATATTGAATTCAGCAGTTTCTTATTCCTCCTTGCTCTCGTTTACTACTTCTCACTGCTTCTAACCGAGTTTTCTTTCTTTCTTCGTCTTTCATCTTATTACTTTGTTACTTGTTGTGCTGATTTGAAGTGTGGGAACTTGAACCGTTACGCAGTAATGCTTGGCTCTATGTTGATATTGACTGACTGAAAGTAGTATTCACCACGAACTAACATTAGTTGTAAAACAATTGAAAACTTCGAAGGATTGAACAGTTGCTTCGTCCTAGTACGGAACTCCTCGGCAGTGCGCACACATGACCCCGTCAGTAGTTCGACGCAGGGATTTCAGGTCTGGCAGCAAGCACATTAACCATTCAGCAACCGGCCTGGGAGTCAATGGTCTCCAATTCCTTACTTCTGTCGATTCACGATGCAGCACAATCATCATCCAATGTCATCGTTCAGGAGTTATATCCTCAAGTCCGACGTTCACTGATATTTCATGAGATGTACGCATCAAAAATCTCTGAAAAAAGCAACAGTATTCAGACATCGAATCTTCACATGTACATGAAACTATTCCATTTCAGACGATATGGTTTCTGAGCTACGTGGATAATACTTTTTAACAGTATTTTGTATCGATTAGATGTTGATGAAACGGTCGACCCTGGTTGTAAACACAATTCATTGCCAAATATTATCAGAAAGTACGCTATGCGGTAGCCAGCACACAAAAGAATGAATACTGAACTTATTAGTCAGAAACATATGACACAGTCAAGAAAAACACTGAACATAGAAAAAAAGTGGAGGTTCAATCTACCGCGTTTGAGTCATGGGTTAACGATACAGCTTGATTGTCTATAAATCGAAATAAACCAAAAGGAAATCGAGCTTTTGGCATGAAAGTTCAAAATTAAATCACTAGAATACTTATCTTCAATTCCATAACCAAATGAGACCCTACTTTGCAACATAACCAGGGTGTAGCACTTAAAAGTATTAAAACACTTCTTATTATACACAATAGATTGAACAATTAATGTCTAAAAGATGAATAACATTGGGGTTGCAGCTTACTTGGTAGTTAGCGGTGGATCCAGGACGTGCACCTCGTCCTATTTGAGACTTGTCGGCTAGACGTACCTGCACTCCAGTGAGTGATATTGTTCCAGCTGTGACTCGAACCAAGTATCCATCGCTTCAAACGTGAAAGCATTATCCACTAGGCCACTGGAAACGAGAAATTGCAAGCATCAATAAAGAACAACTGATAGGGCTATACAAGTGGCAGCCCTCGTACCAAAGTGGCGTAGTAGATAACGGTTTTGGCGTTTGAAGCGACAGGTACTGGGTTCGAGTCTCAGCGGGGACATCACTCACTGGGGTGCAGATACATCCAGCTGACAACTCCAAAGTAATACGAGACAAGCGTCCAGGACCCTTCCGCTAGCCACCAAGTCAACTAAAATGTCATGAATATCCGGGCAATATCGAGGGATCCATACAGGAGCCCATCTGCAAACGTGATGAATATTAACCTGAAAGCAATAAATAAATCCCCAAAAACATTTAAACGTGTTATTTAAAAGTATGATTCAAAAGCTCTGTAAGGTATTACTCGCCGACAGACGTAATTCACAATAATCTAGAATCTTAAGATCACTTGTAATTAGTGGAGTAGAATTATTCAAGATACTGGAAGACAGGATTTGACAGAGAAATAAAAGGACCTAACAAGTAGGAAAGTGCTAACGACTTCTTGGCTCTGTAGTAATTTAAACCTTGAGTTTGGAGAAATAAAAAATGTTTTCACTTATTTGGTCGATAGACAGTGAAGTTCTTACTTGCTAAGAACATGAAGCTGGAGCAACAAGTAAGAAGAGACCCCTCTCTCCCCTCCAAAGAAAACAAAAAATGGGTCGATCAACAATTGATATTCGCACTTAGGAAATCAGATCGAACTGAATAAATTCAAGGTACGTGACCTTTCGAAATATCACCTAAAAATATGCATGTCAGTGATTTTTCAGACGTGGGTGTTCACAGATATCTTTTGCTTCATGGTAGCTATCACTGAAATCCAGAGTGAATGTTTCGTCGCGTTCGAGACACATCAGCTGAGTAAAGCTCAGTTACCTTCACATCTAAGATCAAGCAATATTTAAAACAAACACTGATAATCTATTTAGAGGATATTTTGCGCATATTCACACAAACACGGTGACTTAAAAAAACAGTGAACTCGGGATAAATAATTGCCTAAGGTTTCAGAAATTAGGACAAGAAATATGTTCATATATTTTCTAAAAACACAACATGTTTGCACAATACAAAGGGATCATACCTTGGTGAGAAGTATTTACCGGTGATTGTGGAGGCATTCCATTTGAAGGATGCAATGCTTTCAATGGGCCTGAACCAGAGCCTGCAATTCCTCCTAAACCTTGACCACCGCCGCCAACAACAGAAATAGGCAATTGTGAATTCGTAGCAGCTCCGGCAGCCAAACGAGCTTTATGCATTTTAAGCCGACGTGTTGTAGGCATAGTGGAATACTGTTTATCTACATCTAGTAAAACATTATCAGAGGTATAAATTAGGTTATTAGTACAACTACGGTTTGTGTGAAGTAAAACAAAATACCTACTGGTAAACATGTGAACTAAAATAAAACACACATGACTACTGTTGGTTGAAACGCAAGTTATTTTAGTATTAAAAAGACAAACAGATAGACAAGATAAAAGTTATTTCAAATATTGAAGCCTTAGGGGAAGTCAAACAGTGAATACATCTACGCTATTTTAACGGATCCTCAGTCATATCATCCAGAGTTCTTATTCCTATCGTATTGGCACCCCAGCCAGGGAGTTTACACTACCTACACGTTTCGGACCAACAACCAGAGGCTTCATGTACTGGTTTTGAGGAGGGGTACCAGAAAGAGCGAAAGATTTGTGTGACGACAGAGTTCAAGAGACACTTGTTTGAGGCCTTTCACAAACAGCTTTTCCAGGATTGTTAGTGTCAGATTTGATTATTATTTAACGCTGGATAGATAAAACCCATACCACATTCACTGAAACGCTGTTGGGCAGAGAGGAGTGTGCTCTTTTTGAGGCCAACCTATTTACCCCCCCCCCCCTACCCATGGGAAAGACAGCATTGGTATTGCTAGTCAGCCAGAGTAAACACCTTACTGTTGTCACATACTAGCCAGCAAGCAAAAAGACTTCCCCATCGGACCCCGCTATACCTGTAATGCCTACTGTCCTACCACTCACTATCCAACAGACCTCAAGTAAACAAGTGTTTCACCAGCATAGCTAGTTGGATATTTGTGATACAAAACCCGGAGATCACCATGTTAAGGTAGCAGCTATCAGTTGGGGTAATAAAAGCAGCTTATTTAAACCCTAGTTCAAGCATTTATGGATATCTTAAGTCACTCAATCACCCCTTTTTTATGAGATATATTATTACAAAAGAGTGAAATAAAAAACTTCAAAGGAAACGATAAATTACCTTCAGGCATTTTATAGCGATTAGGGAGAATGTTTGTTTGAAAAAATGAGAACTGAGACGCATCCACGTGTCCATGACGTTTTTCTGAGACACTACGACGTCCAAATCCTTCACGTAGAAAATTTCTATTAGATGGTACTGATAAATTTCTTGGTGAAGGATATTGAACTGTTGGAGAGGATGCTGTTGAAGATAAAGGTAGCGGGATTTGATGATCGCTGTCACCGTTTGATCTTTGACCAGTTCGATATGAATGCTGACCACGATGGTGTAGTGAACGAGATTCAATTTCACATGATAGAGAATCTGACCTATGCGTAGACGTCGACGATTATCGCTTAGTGTGAAGGATAATGAACAATTTTCCTGGGAATTTGTCTGACCACTTAAATTATTCGATTTATCACGATGATGTTGATGATGTGTCTGATGACCATTTTCTAATTCTTCAAGTTGTAGTGATTTAATGCGTCTAGAAAAAGAACGTGGTAAGTATCGACAATTTCTTTATAGATCACTTAGTCATAACTATTATAATCTTTCATCATTATGGAAAACGTTCCCATCAAAGCTTTTTCACGCTTTTCCGACAATCGGAGTAGGACATAAGATTGTTTTTGCCTTAGTTAGATGTAGGCAATTGACAGGAAGCCTAGTTAAACCTATGTTTCGTGGTTATTGGGACTCATCACCGATGTGCATCTGAAGCCTCGACAGTAATGACGTCCCTATTAGATTCAAACTCGCATCACCAATTTCGCAGCCAGAGAAGTAAACACTGAGATATTCGGGCTACAACAGATTTCCTGAACGACTGGATGATGTACACTGACTAGTCACGAGAGGGTAACCATTTTCAAGCTACCTAGTCTTAAGTGCTGGTCGACTATTTTGCGATTTGACCACCAAGTCAAGAGACTCACCTTCTAGTAAGATGTAGTAAGATGGAATATGATGTGAAACATTAGACAATGAAATTATTTTCACCATCAGTTAAGGAATTTAGTAAGCTCAAATTAAAGGCCTAATATCAGGTAACTTTAAGGTCATCCAAGCAATTTACAAGACAACCAATTAAGCTTCTGCATTTTATGAAAAACTATCTTTCAAGCCAGAGTAATGAAATTGATAGGTTTTTACAGAAATTGCCAGGATGGTGTTTCAAGTTACCCCAAATATCAGGAGCCGTTCAACTAAAATTCAATGTGCATGTACTTAAAATTCAGTTTTAGCATTTAACATCATCTTAGAACAACGTAAACCAACAATCAAGTGAGATATGCACTGACTGACGACAAATATATACTATCCCTATGAAGTGACTGAATGAATAATGATAAATACAGGAACTATAATAACGCGATGAGACATTTGGGGTGCATACGAATTGTAACTGTTCTTCCTCGAACCCTATATTTAACTCAGAACGAAAATGTCAGAAGGCAAAGAACGGCCTGTGACTGTAAAAAAGATACGTTATTTATACACAGTTTTTATGAACGTATAAAACCACCAGGCCAAAAGTTAAATCACTTATTTTGACTGGTCACCTGCAGATAAATTGTCCAATAAGGTTTTTCTTGACCACACGACGATGTTGAAAGAAAGTTGATACGCAAAAAGTTCTACCTTAGAGGTTGATAGCTTAAAATGCAGATTTCTGTTTAGGCTGCCTTCTATCACCCTGTTGTTTAGATAATACTGAGATATGTCACATGATTTTTAAGTCTAACTTGGTTACTACACACTAAATTTCTCAATCTCCAGATTATACCTCCACTGTGGCTCGTTGGTTTAGGCAGTTGACTTACAACTAGTGGGTCACGGGTTCCAACTCTATCCCATCTATCGAGGTGTGAGCAGCTAGTGTCATCGGCCTTCACACAATGCTAAGCTCGTTTCCCTACTGCACAAACGTGAATGTGGTTGTTGAGTGCTTACTTCGATTTGATGCCTGCACAACATATCATGAAGGTTTATTTTCTAGACGAAATATTTCACTTCTAGTAGAGTGATGAAAGGAATACTATTGAAATAATAGAACAAGAAATATTTATATGTATGCAGTCTATTTTACCTTGGAGGAAGATCTGAAGGTCTTACTGATTCCCCGGTGCTGGACTGAGTATTCTCTTCATCTTTGTATCGATGAACAGTAAGGCTGAATGAAGTTGAAGATTGTCCAGCATTGTGTACATTTCGTTCATGACAGTGTTTTAAAACACGTTTAAGCCGTTTAATGATGTTCTGAAGAAAGAGAAAATAAAGAAATGAAATAAGAATGAAAACTTGAACATCTTCGAAAAAGCTTTATCAGGTATATCACAAAGCTAAACCGTATAATACAGTGGATGTTCATGTACATATCTAATCAGAGTGGTCTTATATATATATATATATATATATATATATATATATATAATCACTGGCTTATGAAGTTATTAGCTTGCTAACATTCATTCAAACCTCGCACAGGAGTGTATTGTCTCAAGTTGCCACACTTCACAGTAGTACACCAGACAGGTGGATAGAAAACAAGTGATATCAAAGTAGATAAAGTAGTTTGAGAGAATAAACAGTCTGAATATACAGGTTAGTGTGAATCTTCAACTTTAGAAGATGTCAAGGAGTGAATAGATCTGCGCCATTGTATCCCATTCACAATGAGTAGTGAATGCTGCATAGATATCTCATTCACAACAGTGAAGCATGTCAACGTACAGCCAAGATTCCCTTAGCAATTTTGTACACGCACGTGTAGTAGCCAAAACGCCACACCTATGTGTGACGGCTAATGATACTGCCTGGCTACCCAAAAATCTCTATAGGGCGATGATGTGCTCGAACTTATGGCCTACTAGTTAGAAACCAAGTGCCTAAACTAATGACGCACGGCACTTGTAGAAAAATATGGGCAGGAATCTGAACAGATACAAAAATAAACAAATAATATAAACTAGTTATTCAACTGACACGCCAAGAAATATCCCTATGATTCTCATCTGGAGAAATTCTATAACAGAAAGACTTTAATAAACCAATTTGTTTTCCCCGATATCATTCTCACAACAGTTCAATTGTAGCGAAGTATAATTAGTGTTTGCATGTAATGTCAACAAATGTCAACATACTTGGTAAAATCATACTCCCTAGTAAGTCATTTTCAGGGAAGAAGTAGTATGGAAATGACAACTATGTCAGAAGGTGAGCAAAAAGAGTCAATGAAGCTTTTGAAAGTCTCAATATGTAAGTGTGAGTTGCAATCAAGAAATGAAGAGCATGCAAGAGAATGATTCAACAAACTTAAGTAAGGAATGGAATAGTATTTCAGGCAAGAAGTTGGTGTTTGAACTGTAAAGTTTACGTTGAATCGAAGTAAAAAGATGTGGAAAGCTAAAGACGGAGAAGAGCTAGTTAGTTGGTGCGTGAATATTCGCAGTGGTAAAGTGTGAACTAGGGAACTGAATGGAAAACTTGTTTTTAAATACACATACGTGTTTCTCAAGTTCCAACAATACAAATTCCAGAAGTTCTTTCTATTGTCTGTTAACTATGCTAAATGAGTCTTGTGAAATTGTATCCACTGCCGTCATAAGCTGAAAGTGTTAATTGATCTGAACTGACTCCTTCTGAGCCAGGTCAGGAGGTGTTTGCATCTATTTTGGACAATTTGCCTCCATGTATAGACAGAGACAGATAGACAGACAGTGACAAAATTAAGGTGGAACCTTGCACACAAATGCATCGGTGCAAGTTGCCACACTTCACAGTAGTATATGAAGAAAAGACTGATATCAAAGCAGACAAAGTTGTGTGAGACGATATACAATCTGAAGATGGAAGTTAGTGTAAATATTGAAGCTTTAGAAGATGTTAAGGGGCGAATACATCTGCACCTGATTTTCAGTCATGTTACCAAGAGTCGTCGTTAACCAGTGCTTTCTTTCGTCTCGAAGACCCTAGTCAGGTAGTCTACATTTCCCTACACGGCTAAAACCAACTATTAGAGACTTCATCGACTGGTACCATATCTTAGTTTCACCAACATGTGTGCAGCTTGTATATGCATATTAAAACGGCTAGAGGTAGCAATTTTCGCTTCTTACACATGTTTACTATTGCCTTACTAGTAAAAAAAGATTCATAGAGTCGTGATACAGAATATTCGCTTGATGGCCTACATCAATTTAAGCTGTATAGTGTCATCAGTTGTGTCAGTGCTGAGTTTAGAATTCAAAATCAATTTCTTCCATCCACATAAGCAAATATTTGTTGAGCAGTTTTCTCAAACACTATTTTTTTTTTAGCAACAACAATATAAACAATATTATATAGTAAAGAATACTATTTCACTGTGTGTTATATCAAACAAACTTACTTAATACGGAAGAAATCAAGAAATGCATCGCTTTTCAGCATCAAAAATCATAACCACCTCTTCTACATCTTTTGTGTTCTTTATTTTCCTACTTTGCTTCGACATAAACTTTCCAATTCAAATGGTAACTTCTTATTATGAATGTAATTCTGTTCTTTACTGGTGTTTATTGAATCGTTCTGTTAGGTGATCTTCGTCTTCTGATTTCAACTCCCGCTTATGCAACAACACTTACTTATTGAGACTGTCAAAAACTTCAGTAACTCTTTTTCGTGTTGTTGCGTAACTATCACTTCCATACTAATACTTGCCCAGCCACAAAGTACCAATGTGTATAGCTTCACTGAGCACGTTAAAATTTGTTACCGTTATATGTAGATGCTAACTGTATTTGTCTACGATTGCACAGATTTTGAGAATGATATCAGTGGAAACAAATCTGTTCACTAAAGTCTTTCTATTATGTTGTGATGGGAATTTTCATATGTATGAGGGATTGAGCGAAGAAGTATTTGGTTTCAAATAAGTCTTCATCATCGGTTCTACATTAATATACAGGTTTTACACTTGATAAGAAAGTACTACTTACTGATGATGAGTAAACCAATTAAAACAGTTACAAATCAAAGTTACTGATGAAAGCAACTATCGGCAGAATGGAGATGGAAATCGATGAATACGGAAACTACCCAGAAGTGATAGGAGATATATAATTTCACTGGCTCCAAGACAGTTGACACGAAGGGTGAAGGATTCACTGACGTGTTAATAATAGAGAACCAAATAAGAATAAGGAAACAAGTTATGATGAGCTGAGTGGAGAAGAGGTTCGTGTCTGCTAAGCGCTTAGCAATAGAACTCGGGACGCGCGTTTCGCCCTACTTGGGTCTCGTCAGCGGGAAGTATCTGCACTGTAGTGAGCGATGTTGCTCCCATTGGGATTGGAACCCAACACCCATCGTTTCAGAAGATTGAATGGTATACTTGTAAATGCGTAGCTTTCATTCACTTTATGACCAGTATCGCTTAAATTTGTAACCACTTAACTTCGTATTGTCTTTATCTGTTCTTTACACAGCTTAGTGTTGAGACATTTTCTGCGGCGGAGTTGTCTGATTATACAATCTACAGGAGTAGTTAAAGTGATAAATTCAGATAGAACAAGCAGAATCGGGAAGTCTACCTTTATGTCCTGCACCTCAAATTAGCCCACTGTAGAAGACAGAACATGACCTAACAGCGTTAAATGTCTTCTAAAAAGCTTTAACCATAAACCTTGTAGATGATGTCCCATCTCGATTCAAGCTCAAAGAAAATAGGTTCCTTGGGAACTGTTATTACTGTCGATTTGGTTTCCGTCTTAAACGTTCAGTAGTTGTTAGGCGGGCTACCTATACATAACATCAAGTTCCTATTTTATGATCTCATCAGAACAAATAACTAAGGAACCAAGAACCAAGCATTTCACTTAGTCCTATTTCGCTCAAATTTTCCAAAAAACATTACATTTACATCAGAGGTTATATATTCGATAAATAGTCCAGTGAAACACCTTTATTCAATATAAATTCACATATTAGTTAGTTGGAAGCAATTCACAGGAAGGAAAGCTACACTTAGGTTTCATGTTTCCTGGTACTGGTTATCCTACAGTGACTAATCGATGTACCTAATCCAGTTCAACAGGAAGTCATTCACGGCTTGTATAGCTCAGTGGTAACGTCCCTGATTGCAGTATTATGTGACGCTGGTTCATATTTTAGGTGTGATATCATTTGTGTCGCGGTTTCAGATATGCATTGCTAACGAGTGCCAAAAAGCAGAAAATCTAGGTTCAGGGGTTCTTATCGATTGCCTCTATCCAACTAACATCTATCAAAGTGATTCGCGATGCTGGACCTCCTGGCTACACTGAAAAATGACCGACAGATTTCGATCAGCACGTGGGACTACACAACATGAAGTTGATTACTCTCCAGTGACTAACAAATATAAAAAAAATAATCTGAACAAAGAACACTCTTTTGAACAGGCTCTCATCACGATTTTACAGCTATAAAACGGAATTGTACAGCGCACAAACGGACCAAGTTTGAGGCCAATGCTTAATCCGAGACTAAAGGAGAGCCTAACCAATCTTAGCTCTTCATTGTACAGATATCAGTTTAACTACTCCATTGCGACAGATTGCATAGGGTGTACAACTCAGTAGGTACATCTCCAGATAATAGACAATTTACCAGGTAGATGTACAAAAGGTGAAGTGAAAGTGATAAAAAACTGTATTTGAGCTCAATCTGGTAGAGATACAGGGCGTCTCAGAAGTGTTATTAAGGTTTTCAATGTCATACACCGCATTCCGAAAACAGTATAATGTGTCACTCACCAACGTCTGCACACCAAAACAGCTTAAGCTGTCGCAATAAAAGAGATTAAAGCTGAACTTGACACTAAGAAGGAAAATGTTCATTCTTTCCTTGGCTTTTAGTAAGCTGAAAGTTACTTTCATCTTCCTTCTTTGACCATCACATTATTCACCTGAATATAACTCGTCTTAATATTGATAAAAGTAAGAAGAAAAATTGATTTGCTTACAGTCAAATTTCATCTTGGAAAGTGCATTCAGCACAAACTTGGCTTTATTTTACGCCATAAAATAGCTTTTTAAAGCTGGAGAACATGATAAGGACTCACTGAATTATATATTCTTCGTTTAGACTTTTGTTAAGGTTTTTTTTATACAGAATTAGATGCTTGTTTGTTACTAGTTTTTGTGGATGTAAATATAATTGTACAGCTTCAAAAATGGCAGCGATGAATAACAAAGTACAACTTCTTCACCGCTTTAAACCAGAGTACTTCATAAATTTTGTCATTACATTATAAGCGACAGAAATGAATCACTTGTCAGGTGAATGAAATTGAAGTGAACAACCGTAATAATAATAATAACGACCTACTTTTATGTTCATGCCAGCTACGCTTTCCCCGTTGATACCGACAAGACGATCACCAGGCTGCAGAGTGATCCGATTATCTGAGGTAACTATACAACCAGGTAAAAGGCTATCAATGTATAGTCCAGGTACGGGTGAATATTGGGAGCTCGGTGTCGGGGTTAATTCATTGTCTACTGTTATCTTTGACATTTCAGCCGATGATGACGATGAGAGGAGGATATCATTTGACCATTTAAAATTTATGCCTAACGCTGGAGGTCTACTGCTGTCTGGCTGACTGGTATCCAATGGAAGATAATACTCATAAGTTAGTGTTACAAAAGGCTAAGTAAAGAAAAAAAAATTACAATGAAAAAAAGTTAATAAAATTATATTTCCGAAGGTCAAACAATCACCTGAGAGATCTGAGAACATTGAACAAGATTTAGTTCGATGTCAGTGCACTTCCGGCTAATTAAATATTAAAGGAATATGAGGTAGTAAACACACTTCAAAATGATCGATAGGATTCAGCCAGCACTCAGGACTAGAAAACATGACATGGTTGCTTTTCAGTGACCGAACAATATTTACTGAACTTTGAAACACTTCAATATGTTGAATGGTTAGTGTTATGCGGCGCCTAAATCAAAATCAATATACTAAGTCATCAATCGCTAAGGTAGACGTTTTGCATTTCAAATTTTGCTTCATGTCGCTATATGGACAGGAAAAACCTGACTGAACAATTTCGTCCTACAACTGACTAATCGAAATAAGAATCCAACTTCTGACCTAGTAGTTTTACATGTTGATAAAAACTGTACGCACTTGATGTGCTTTTGTTGAATGAAGTGAATTCCTTAAAGTCACAGGTCGGTCTTTATCTTCGGATTTTCGCGGCCTGAAGAAGTAGGAGGTTCTAGGGAAAAACAGTTGCAATTCGTATTATTCTGTCAGTCACTCCAGTTAGAATCTAAAATTAAAGCATAATTACTGACTTCAACTTTTTTGTCTTTTTTTTTTATCTTTTTGTTTGACGTAATAGAGACAACAGACAGTTTATTATCTAATGTCTTCTTCATCGCTATATTGTCGACGTGAAAAAAGTAGGGATTTCTGCACATTCATAAACACATAAACACAGATAGTTATGTAGACAGTCATCAGTCCGCTTTTGTCATCAACCTTAGGTAATGAGTGGATATCACATTAAACAAGACAATATATTCGGAAATATTTCATCGTCTTATGATAACTAAAAATAGAAACGGAAAGAGGCAATTAACTTTGAGCTGAATATAAATCAACAATGACAACTGATAAAGTCTGTCAAGAAGATACGATACGTCGTTAACTATACGACAGGAAATTTTGATAAGGTAACTTAAAAGTGTTATGTATATATATGATCGACAAGATTTGCACAGCCACTGAGACTAGACAACATGAAATAGATTATTAACCAGTGGTCAATAAATGTAATAAATGGATGGAAAAACCGTCATAAAGGCCTGGTTATCCTAGGTTTCATGCCTATTGGCACTCTTCAGCATTGCGTATCTGCAACCTCAAAGGAACTGGTGTCCCCTCGGGGATTCGAACCAACATCACCCAATATTGCAGTCAGAGACCTCAACATAGATTTACCGATTTCTAAGGTTATCTAGTCCGACTCCAGCCCCGAGTGACACGGGTTCGAATCCCAGAAGGGACATCAGTTTCGTCAAGGTTGTAGAGACGCCTTCCTAATGAGTGCCAACAAGCATGAAACCTAAGTCCAAGGATTCTTGCCGTTCGCCTCCAAGCATTTCATATCAACCAAAGTACACGATGACCCTGACTCGCCTGGCTTGGAGGCCACATTGCAAAATAGTCGACAAAATTCAGTCAGCAATCAAAATAGACAACATGAAAGTGGTTACTCTCCAATGTCGAATCAATGTAATTTGTGAATAACCTATATGAGATATCTTTGTTTGACTGTATTTAAAATAGAAACTGATTCGTGATTATATTTATGTTAACCAGCTTCAACTAACTCAGTGTTCTGCAAAACGAAACAGTTTCACCATTCCCCATTTTGTTTATTTTCACCGCTTTGTAGAGGTCAATCTGATGTTCCATATTCATATCTATTAGTTACATTGCTCTGAGCAGGGTGTTAATCATTTTGAACTAGTTAAGTAAACGTATGTTGTTAAGCATGTAGGATACCAGGTTGATATCTCCAAAGCCTTCGAAATAATGAACATGCAGAGAATATCAGTACAAATTTGTTTTTTAAAAGCAATCGTAATAAAGCCTTTTTTATGCATAAAAAAAGATAATGTGGTCAACCTCTAGCTTCCTGAGTAAATGTATTTCAGTCATATCATTAATAAATAATTCTGTTTTGGCTTTACTCGAATGGATCAATACTTTGTTTTTTGCTTATACATCGAATTTAACTCACCAAGCAAATTTCATTCTTACGTTTGCCGATTTTTACGTGTGTTATATTAACCTCTTGCTGAGTATTATTTTTTGACGTTCTTGTATTTCTTCTATCTATAATTACACTGAGCTATACTATCTGATCGAAATATACTGATGAAAATTGTAATTTCCGAATGTAAAATAAAACGATATCTGAAGGTAGTTTGCATTACAGATTGACCTTAGCTGGAGAACCACTGAAAACCTGCGAGCTGTCTATAGTGTGCAAAGATGATCCTGCAAGAGGTAAAGTCCACGACTGTCAGGTTTCACCAAGTCCCACTGATTTTTTTCTTCATAATGTCATCAGTGAGAGAAAAAACAGCAGCGGCTGGATAGCCAACGTGCTCCCTGAGACCCGAAAATCCTGAGTTGGATTCCTGATTGGGTCGTGAGTGGATACTGCTGAGGAGTCCGGTACTAGGGCGAAACAACTGCCCAGTGCTCCAAGGTTTTCAATGGTTTCCCAACTGATACTAGTCCATAAAGAACACTACCTCAAGAAAAAAAATCCCGAAAAACCTAGAAATAAATATAAATTAGTAATGGTTTTAGGTTGTATATAGATGGTGAGTATTCCCATGAAATAAAACGATATCATTTCACTCCGTAGAACCGGTTCTTTTTGGTTTGTTTAAATTTATTACAGGAACCAAATGCAAGTCAATGTAGTGAAATACATTATGAACTACAATCATAAATTTGAAATATATGAACGATGAACGGATAGTTAAGTACCATGGATTTATATAGCAGTCAGATGAAAAAACCTTGGAGACTGAAGTGAAATTAAGAGCTGGTTAGCAGTTGGTTCTCGCAGATGAGTTGGTAAAACATAGGCCCGAAAACCCAGAGGTTGCTGATTCGAATCTTGCCACGGCCCATGTTTTCATCTCAACTTCAATCATCACCCATGTTAATAATATCAATCTGCTAGACAGTCTATCTCAGATAATTTCATTCATATATAAAAAAAAAATAAATTCATGCTGAGATACATAGGTATACACACAACGAAGACCAGAATCTTTAACTATGAAGATTTCTAATAATACAGAAATGCAATTCACTTACACGTGAAGGCATTAAAGCTTTTCGCACATTTACATCTGCATCATTACATGAAGCATGTCGAGAAATTAACAAATCCACTTGTTTGCCTGGTTCCAATGAACGTAATTTGGACAGAACGTGGTTAAGTGATTGGACATTTTCACCATCAATCGCCAATAAACGATCACCAATCTATAGGGTAAATCAATAATAAATGAAACATTTCATAGAACTTTTATTGCTAACTACACATTGTGTTCAATCTGGTACACAACCATAAAATCACATACTACCTCCACCACCCTTGACAGATCCAGTAAAAAAATTTGGCTAGAAAGCCAACAGAGTATATGATAACTTAGATACCACGGTAAAGATATAATAATGTAATATACGGACTGGTCACTGCAGAGCAACCACTTTCTTGCCTACACCTGGGTGCTGACCAAATTCGATTAATCATTTTACAATGCGGTCACCATCACTATGCACTTTGACAGATGTTGGTTAAAAATAGGCAGTTGCAAGGAAGTCCTGAGTCTAAGCTTTGAGCTTTTTGGCACTCGTTAGCAAGGCATATTTGCAAACTCAAAAAAACTGGCGTTCCCTGTGAGATTCAAGTCCGCGTCACCCAGTGCCGCAGTCGGAGACGTTACCACTGAGCTATTCATGACATGATCGATCTCCTTTACGACTGGATAGAGCACACTGATTGGTCATTAGGGTGGTGATGGAGTTCTATCGATCTTCTTGCGATTTGGCCGCTAATAATGTAAACTCTTCTTCGTTTAAAGATTTTATTGATATGACTAAGCACATCATATTCATACATCAGTGCGAGAATGGACCTGCAACCGATACATACTGCACAGACAAATACGCCAGCCATCTTAGATAAGTAAACCAACAAATAAAGCATTTCATTTTGCTCCGACAACGCAATGCATTTAATATATTTTTTTCTCCTTCGAATGAAAGAATTGAGCACAGGGTCGGTAATCCTTAGGTCGCTGGTTCAAGTCTTGTCATGACCGACACTTTTATTTCATTTTTGATCATCACCCAGTAATAAAAAAGTCCGCAAAACGACGGATAGTCAAACTAATAATCAGTATGATGCCCATCATCTCTAAATCAAGTAGACTTGGATTTAGATGAGAAATCCTGACTGGACAGCCATTGTGAATAACATCAAGCGATAGTAACGCATCACGAATTCACATTGCAGTTGGGTGATACCCTGATGACTGAAGTGAAACAAAAATCTGGTCAGCAACTAGGCCTCATACCTCATTTGGTAGACCACCAAGGCTGGTAACCCATAGGTTGCTGGTTTGAATCCTACCGCGGCCCAGATTTTCATTTCACCTTCTATTATCATACAGTATAAATCAAACAACATCAAAGCACTATCTATGCCATTTTACATCAGTTTAATCCATTACGATCTCGCACAAAATAGGCACATATAGTGGAGTGTGAAGCTGTGGCTGATTAATTTGTGTTTAAATTTCAGGCAATCTGCCTTGGGTTCGAATCCCGCCCTGCCCGCTTCAACCTTGACAACCGGGTACGAGAGAGAGAGAGAGGGAGGGAGAGATTAAGAAGGAGAGCAGATGTAGGCTCAGACCACTATCTAGTGCAAGGAACCTTTAAAATCAAATTGAAAGCCTTCAAGGAAGTTGGTGATAGACCATAGTTCACGTTCAAAACCAGGAAACTGAAGGACGAAACTACAAAGAAAATCTTCACGTCAGCCATCAAGACAACATGGGAGATATCGAGCAACATCCCTAAAGAAACCTGTGTGAATGAGCACTGGAATACTTTGAAAGCTATGTGGAAAGAAACCTGCACAACAGTATTAGGAAGGAAGAAGAAACCAGACAAGGAATGGATCTCGACGGACGCATGGAAGTTGATGGAGGAGGGAGAGGAAGATGGTGAAGCAGAAGATGAACCAGTGCAGCGATGAACAACGAGAAGAGGAACTAAGTACAACGTATAAAACACTGGGCAAAGAAGTGAAGAAGAGTGCGCGTAAAGACAATAGACACATCTACAACACACAGGCAAGTGAAGCAGAACAGGCTGCAGGTAAAAGAGACCTGACAACATTATATCAAATAACTAGGTTACATTTTGGAGGGAAGAGGTCAACACAGAAAATACCATAAAAGATGATGACGAAAATTTAATTACGAAAGAATAGAAACAAAGGAAGCGATGGACTGACCACTTCAAAAAACTCTCAACCACCACCACCGCCTGCAACTCGTCCAGAAATACCACTAACAACCCAGCCACAGAACTACCAGTGAACACAAGTCCTCCGACAAAAGTCAAGGTCCTGAGCGCCATAAAGCTACTGAAATGCGGGAAAGCAGCAGGACCAGATAGAAACCTGCCAGAAGCACAGAGAGCAGACGCGGAGACAACAGCGGACATGCTCACACCACATCACTATTGCAGAAGGTGTGGAAGGAAGAGAAGGTACCTGGCGATTGGAAGAAGGGCTACCTTGTCAAACTCCAGAAGGGAGACCTAAGTCTTTGCAAGAACTGGTGCAAAATCATGCTCCACTCCTGTCCACCCCAAGCAAAATATTAAGTCGCATCATCCTGGAGAGACTATAGGATGCACTGGATTCAAAACTACGACCGGAACAGGCTGACTGGATTCAGGCAGTACAAATCATGTGCAGACCAAATTGCAACGCTTCGCATCGTCATCGAACAGAGTATAGAATGGCAGTCAACCCTCTACCTCAAAGTCATCGACTTTGAAAATGCCTCCGACAGCGTCAACCGAGAAGTAATTTGGCAGTTGCTTCAACACTACGTAGTGCCACTAATCTTTATCAACCTCATTCGACAGCTATATGAAGACGCCACATGCCAAGTGATTCACAATGGCAAGCTCATTGATGCCTTTAAAGTGAAGTGAAGACAGGAGTGAAAAAGGCTGTCTACTATCACCCATGATATTCCTGATTGTGGTCGACTGCATCATGCAACAAACAGTGAGGAGCGTGAGAAGAGGGGGATACGCTTGACCGCGGAAAAGAACCTAGAAGATTTGGATTTCGCCGATGGCTTGTGTCTAATGTCACACAAACTTGAAGATCTACAGGCGAAAACTAACAAGTTGACAGAAGAGGCAGCGACGACAGGACTTCAAGTGAACGTAGAGAAGATATAGGTGATGAAGATATTTAACCAACACCACCACCAACAAGATCCAACTACCATGAACGGGAGAAACTTAAAGGAAGTAATCTCTTTCACCTATCTAGGCAGCACTTTCAATTACAGGCGGCACAGACGAGGACGTCAAAGCCAGCCAGGATCGGAAGAGTAAGACAGTCCTTCATAACACCTGAAACCAGTGTGGAGATCTTCTGCACTCAGCAAAAAGCGTGAACAAGTTCCGGATTTTCAACACCAACTCAGTCAAGTCAGTGCTTCTGTATGGCTCAGAGGCTTAGCGCGTTACGAAAGGCATTTCCAACAAGCTACAGACATCCATCAACAACTGCGTATGCTGACTCGGTACTGACGATCAGATGGCCAGAATAATAAGAATAAGCAACAAGGAACTCTGGTGTCTGGGAACGATCCACCCAAGAACCTATCGCTCAACAAATATGCAAAAGGAAGTGGAGATGGATTGGGCATGCACTGAGAAGACCATTCGGGGACATCACGCGCCAGGCCCTCGAGTGGAACCCAGATGGGAAGCGACGAGTTGGGCGTCTGAGGGTGACATGGAGGAGATCCTGCGAGGAAGAAATGGGAGCTTCTGGGCTGTCGTGGAGGCAGGTTCAAAAGATCGCAGAGAACAGAGTGCGCTGGACACATGCTACTGAAGCCCTATGTTCCATTAGGAGCCAAAGAAATATATATATATATATATATATATATATATATATATATATATATATATATATATATATATACTATAAAGAATAGAACAATGGGTTCTCAACACGTGACTCAGCCGAACTCAGAATAAGAGAACACTTCGATTGGATTGGATTCAACCGAATAGTGCGATCATAGCTGATGGTTCAGTTATTATTACACTTTTTAAAGATTCTTGACCAGAGAAAACACAATAGCACATTAAAAGTGTAAAATGGTCCGATCAGAGGTTAGGATTTAAAACCGTGGTAAAAATTAAGTAACATTGCGTGCAAATAAGGTTCAAAGCTTAAGAAGAGATCAAGGAGTGAATCCATCTGAGCCATTGTCATCGATGTTTAGCCAGTCACCAAGAGTCCTCAACCACTGATTTCTGTAGTCACAGGTACTCTAGCCAGACAGTCTACTTCACACTACACGGCTCCGATCAGCAGTTATAGACTTCATCGAGTGGTGTCTTGGTATGATAACCGTGAACCCTCCTCGTCCAACCTAATCTAACTTCCTATAGCGTGTCACGTCGAGGTAGATGGTGGCTCCGCATACGCAGTTCATGTCCAAGCCACCTCAGTCGATGAAGCTTCATAACCTCACCAATCGACTTACCTTCCTTGCCTATCACCGCTTCTTCGCCCTCAACACTGTTCACACAGTGATTCGACTAAACGCGAGGAATGCTACAAAGATACTTATGATCAAAACCCTTTAGTCACTTCATATCTTTTAACGGAAGGGAGATATTCATCAAAGTAGACTACGATGAGAACCATATTTTAAAATGATCCAATAAAAGGCTGAAAGTTAATTATGCAAAGAAACAAAGGAGATGTATAAAACGCAGGGTTTGGTAATACAAACGGAAACAGACAAAAGGCTGTCTCGTGAAACATTTAACCGCATCTATCAGTGTGGATATATGTAGTCAATAAAAAGATGCATTAAGCGAACACGGAAACGGATTTTTTGAAAATATTTCAAGAAATTTATTGATGGTTTTCACTTCTTGTTGACAAGTATGCTCAACCGAACTGAACAGTTTCTGTTGGTTATATGAGTTCCTTGAATGGGGGCCTCAATATCGTTTTCAGCTACATTTTGATGTCATTTTCTAATTAGTGGTTACTAGAGGAATCCAGAATATGCATTTCATCTTAGATTCGTCAGCTGGATGTACCTGCTGCTCAATGAGTCTCGGTGAGAACACCATCACTCAGTATGGTGCATATACAACCATAAGTGAGCAATGCTATGAAGACAGCTATGTCTGAGTACCTGTGATCTCTTCGCTTCCTCAGATTTTAAGGATTGTCTCACAATCTCACACAGCAGGACAGAACAGACTGCGGTGCAATATACTCATCCTTTACAAATTAGTCGGTTATTTGGTCAACCGGCACCAGAGATGATGCAATTTAGCAAATATCGAATAAACTTTCTGTATCCGAAGTAAGATTGTGTCAGCTCCTCTCAATAAAAACCAGCTGACCATCAATGTATCCGCACAGATTTGAATGACAGTGCTTAATAATGTATACTATCACTGTTTCGTCAGTAATTCTGAATGAACCACTAAGTAACTGACTGAAAATGTTAGCAAAATATAAAAAACGCAGTCACAGACTGGTCAATAACAGCACTTACCATTAAACGTCCATCTTGGATAGCAGCACCATCCGGTAATATTTTTTTTACATATACTGGATCAGATATTTGTGAACTCTGAGTCTGTGTATCACGACTGGTCAGTGTAAAGCCAAGACCATTGGTTCTTGTTTTAGTTAACTGAATATGCATTGTTTGACCGATTGTACGTGTATTAAATGCATTTGGATCTTTTTTCGACTACAAGTAAAGCAAAACAAATAAATATACTTTATAATTTCTAAGCAGCATAAAAATTGTAGGCGATTGTTTACACCAGAGTTCTTCCAGCATGTGAAAACTTTTTAAAGACCTCACTGGTGTTAAGCACCTCAGTAAAGAAGCGCGTGTTGACATCTGTGATTTGAGAAAATCATTTATACGCCCTTCCACCTGTTCCATCCCACTTTCTCAACATATTTATTCCCAGCGAAGAATGTTGTCCAAAATTCACCGAGAAAAGTGTTTTCAAATGTCTTAAATCCTTGAACCCTTCACACATTTCAGATCCGGATGGTATGTCAAAGTATTCATAAAGTCAGCTGATATTTTATGCCATCCATTAGCTAACATGTTCAATAGATTGTTTTTAAAAAACACCACACTAGCTGTCTGGAAAGATACTAAGATAGTCCCCATGCCTCAGTCAGAGACTCCAGACACATGTCCGAAATTCCGTCCTCTCCATTCTTGAAAATAATGGAGGAGCTAATAATACCTGTACTTGGAACCTCATTGAAGGCTTTCAGTGACCCTAGTCAATTTGCATATAAAAGCAGAAGCACTTTGGATGCCTACATTCTCTTATATCACGATATTGCTTATAGTCTTAATGAAAATGCCAAGTATGTCAGGTGTGTCTTGATAATCACCTGGCTGCATTCCTATTTCTCTGGTAGGAAAAAGCACACTGTTCATAGAGGGAAGTGCTCCACCTAAGTGTTTACTGTGACTGGAGTTCCCCAAAGAACCATCCTTTCCCCATGTCTTTTCTCATTCTTTCTGCATGATATACCATCTTCAGTTGGTATCAATTTCATTAAAAATGCTGATGACCTAACAGTTTCCACACCTATCTCCTCTTCAGCAGATTGTTTCCGACTGAATGACTTCCTACCTACTGTTAGACGATGGTCCTCCAGGAATAGTCTTATGCTTAATTCTTCAAAATGTCGGACTAGAAACATTAGTTTTAAACGTGAACATAACCTACGTAAACTGCTTAGTCTCTCATGATTCCTGTTCTATTGATAGTTGTGCAATAGAAAATGTTACAAGTGTGATTTACACCTCTGTGTTTTTTGGACCTTTCCTGGTCTTCCCATATCTCACTAATTTCCAAAGGAATTTTTTGCCTGACTTTCTATATAAGGAAACTGAGAGTATCTGGTATAACTCAGTCTCTCCTTTTGTGTTTTATAATCTCCTGAATCCTGCCTGTCCTCCTTTATTGCTCTCCTTTATTTTTTTCTGGGTTGTTAAAAAAAGACTATATTGTATTGCGTAGAACTCTGAAGATTGTAAGCATAACTAGTGGTGTACCCTTAAATCTTCTAGTTAAAACTGCTGTGGACAAATATATTAACTAATTTAAACATCTGGTAGGAGTTATTTTATCAGATGACCGGCATCCTCTTCACTCAAAGCTCTCTGCGTGTCAGTCATCTGGAAACACGAGGAGCAAGTACATAAGACTCTATGCACGTACTATAAAATATAAAACTCTACAATACCGTATTTAGCTCGTCTGTTGTGTGATGAAGAAAGCATTAGAAATGAACCAACTGATCAACTTCTCTTTTTGAAAGCAAACTAATTGAAGATGAGCGTGTTACTTTCTACGTATTATGAATCTAATTGCCAGTGTAACTTTCTACCTAAATTGTCTGTACATTTTGAAGAAAGATGTAGATACAGCGAATATTCTTATCTTCTTTTCATATAATTTCTACTTATTTCATTTACTATGTATACATATACACTACCTCTATCAAATTAATGTTATATGACGTGCTTAAAATCCCGTAGAGTATTCCCAAAATAGCTTTCGGAATGAAGCCAATGTTATTATTAAGTAACTGAAGGATCTTGATCATAAGTATCGTTGTAGCATTCCTCGCGTTTTCCGTTTCCGTGTTCGCTTAATGCATCTTTTTATTGACTACATATATCCACACTGATAGATGCGGTTAAATGTTTCAAGAGACAGCCTTTTGTCTGTTTCCGTTTGTATTACCAAACCCTGCGTTTTATACATCTCCTTTGTTTCTTTGCATTAATTAACTTTCAGCCTTTTATTGGATCATTTTAAAATATGGTTCTCATCGTAGTCTACTTTGATGAATATCTCCCTTCCGTTAAAAGATATGAAGTGACTAAAGGGTTTGATCATAAGTATCTTTGTAGCATTCCTCGCGTTTAGTCGAATCACTGTGTGAACAGTGTTGAGGGCGAAGAAGCGGTGATAGGCAAGGAAGGTAAGTCGATTGGTGAGGTTATGAAGCTTCATCGACTGAGGTGGCTTGGACATGAACTGCGTATGCGGAGCCACCATCTACCTCGACGTGACACGCTATAGGAAGTTAGATTAGGTTGAAAGAGGAAAGTTCAGGGTGGCGAAAGTAAGACATGACAACCAGTGCAAGAAATCCCTGACCGTTCATCGGAGCCGTGTAGCGAGGAACAGACTGCCTGGCTGGGATTACGAGAAGACAGAAATCAGTGGCTGAGGTCTCTTGGTGACATGGTTAACAGTCGGTCACAGTGGTGCATATATTCACTCCCTGACGTCTACTAAAGCTTGAATATTCGTAATTACCTTAATCTTCAGATTTTTTATTCTCTTACACAGCTTTGATATCAATCTTTTTCCATCCACTTGTTCTTTGTAAACTACTGTGGTTACTGAGTGCCTAGTTGAACCGATGGATTTGTGTGCGAATTTCTACGTTGATGTTATCTGTTTATCTGTCAGAGTTCAGAAATGAACACACTCAATCAATTCTAGAACCATCTGATGAGAAAGTATTTTATGAGACTGCTTATGGAAATAAACTCCTTGAGAATAAGGAAAGATAGATAATGATCGATGAAGATGAATAGTAGTGATATATCAGGTGAATTTCAAAGTTGATTACTGCTGATCATTGGATTGAGAAGTCTCGACCGATCACATGAGTAGCTACTTGTAAGGTATATTTCAATACAAGGCATAAATTAAAAAAACTTTGAGATCAACATTAAAAAGGTTGCGTGTACACTCAAGCATAAGTTTAACATATGACTTTTCAATGTAGACCATCCATCACAGTTTGTGTTGGAAACAGTCCGTAGAAAGTGTTAAATGACATTAGTTCAAATGTATGATTTTCTTGGTATCCTACTGTTTGAATTGGATAGTTTAATCTTGAAGTCTTCAGTTTTTATCTTCACAACATCGTTGGCATTAACGTCAAAAAGTGAGCTTTTAAAGTTTTACTGCGGATGATTCAGATTATTTTATGAACCGGGACATATCATCACGTAACCTGCATAAACTTTCTACATGAATATCCCGACCGATAGCTGTTACCTTGACGTGATGCTTGGGTTTGTATATCAAAATGACCCAACGAGCCAAGCTAGTGGAAGGCTTGTTTCCATGAGATCTTATTTTACCGAAAAACGTCTTTTGGATAGTGGTTAGATAAAAGGCAGTTACCATTATAGTGTAAATCGCTACGCCGTGATTGAGGCCTGAAGGCAAAATCTTACTGGTGGCTGGATGAGACGTAACAGCAGTAGGGTGTTTCCCTTGGACGACCTGCAGTGCCACACTGATGCTCCCGTCTTCATGGGAAGGAGTGGGATCAGAAAAGATCGGCCAAAAAATACTAAACTCCCACCCCTCGTGGAATGCCAGTGCCTGAAACAGGATTCATACTCTCGATCTTGCAAAAACGTAGTGTGTTACTGGCCTCAAACAGATTTCCTTAGGGACTACCCACTTCTTTTGCAGGCACCAGGAAGTATCAACCACCTGAACGCTTCCAATAGCACATAAGACATGAAACATTCGTAAATTACTACAAGAGATTTGATAAGGTCAATTTTACTCACCATCAGTTATGTGGCAATCCGTCTGATACATGGAGTAGTGAAGTTGATGAAATCATTTTAAGTTCACGAGAACAAGCTGCTGTCTCATAAATGTATGCAGCTATGGTTCATTCGTCTAAGCACATAACTTTCAACCAATAGGTTGTGGGTTCGAACCCTGTTACAACTGTCAACGTTTGGTAGTATTATTAGGTGTAGCTCACTGCCTACTGCACGAGATTGCATGTGGTTTCTGAATGTAACTCAGCCTCTCTCAGTGTTTCATGAAATGGGTAAATTGATTTCAGATCAGATCCGATCAAAAACAGTGGTATATGAAACACGTTCAGTGAATTAAAGCAGAAAAGAAAAAGGCGACTACTTACACTGCTGATAACCAAGATACCTTTAGGAATAACTACACAATAGTTGCCAGTAAATTTGAAAATAATCAAAAAAGGATATTGTGTGAAGAATAGTTAAATATCAGAGCGTACTGGAGAGCTGTTTTCCTTTGAATAGAAACTTCACATCCGTGCGCATTTATATCATCCTGATAAATAGAAGAAATTGTACTTCATGAATAAAGTTTCTTTTATCCTGTTGCTTAGGCCTGAAAGAAAAAGGACCCCTTTAGAGTTATAATAATTTATCATTATGTGATTCTGTCAGCCCCAATAACGTTAGCATTATATTAGCTTCACTCAGATAGGCAGATAGATGAAAGTATGGATAAATATACAGACAATATCAACATAAGAGATGGGCATTACTGAGTAACGGTTCAAGCTACCACACATCAGCACATCAGATGAGAACACACCAAACTGAAAGATGAAGAAATAAAGAAGCAAGTCGTTAAAAACTGTAGAAAGTTATCAAAAAAGAGTAAGTAGGCGGTGGAGCTGTACTCAGCAAAGACTTTAGTTCTTACGAACTTGTTGACATGTAACAGTTAGGGTTCCAGAATGAATAACCAAAATCTATTAAAACACTTTCATTCGGCATCAACTGAAGTACAATGAACATCATCATACTTTCTCTGTCACGTATCAAGTGTTGAATAATCAGTTAAAATGCCAGAAGGTTGCATCTATAATGCATAGTTGAAGTCGCGAAAAAAA